AATGTCCACATTAGCTGTACTTATTTACTGAATGAAATAATTCTACATTTAAATCTCAATTGATGGACAAGAGTTGTGATTTTTATAACTAACACAGGCCGATTACAACCTGCACTGAGACTACTGCAGTCACTACCACAGACTTTAATTTCTTGCATTATGAAACCAACCACTGATATAAACTAATAGTCGAGTTTGCCAGGCACTTATGATGACATATAACCAGAGTAATTGCAGCTTTCCCTGAGCATAAAAACTGTGAACAATCATTCTGCTGGCTCAACTGTTGACACGCAGAACAGAACATACGCTGCTATTTCAAAACAGTTTGGAAAGTCTGACCTCCGTGGAAGCAGAAAAACTTGATCCCTTAATGTTTTCCTCCCCTAACCTGCCTTGCTTCATCATATTTTGGAACTGGCTGCACCACGAAATAATGGCACTGGACTGGGGTAAATGGCTCTGCTGCTTAGTGACTCATTAAGAATTATAAATACACTCTTTTGGAAAATTAGTGTATTGGAAAATGCCTGCATGCACTTTTTTTTCTTAGCCATCCCCGTGTCGATGTTAAATGTATTTGTAGTGCATGTGCAGCTTTACACCATTCAGCTGGGTGGCCCTAAAATCAGATTCAGCCTCAGGACTTATAAAGGCCTGGGGTGATCCTGGCTGTTTACATCAGGCTTCTTCACTGATGCATTTTATCCCCACTCTTTTCACCAAGCCCTGATACTATAACCTGGTTCAGAGGCAAGCAACAAAAAGGAGCTGCTCTCTCAGCAACAGGAACATTAGGTTACTGTTGTAGTACAATATTATGATCCCTTGTCTTTGAGCTGTTAAAGACAGATGGATAGAGAGAGAGTAGAGAAAATATATCTTTTGAATGTCATGCACCAGACAGCACTGCGAGGAACATCTCTGGGTTTTAAGACTTGGAGCCTGGAGCAGACTTCCCTTCTTACAGCTCACACAGTACAAATCTCTCAGAGACAAGGGTGTCTGAGTGATCTGTCAAAAGCAAATGTCAATCTATTTTGTCATCCACACTCAGGGTTCTCGCTTGCAAAAGTCCCCGAGGGGAGCTGAATCTCAGCCCACCACTTTCTTTCTCTCATCCTGCAGCCATATCGTCACCAAAGCCAGGGAGGAAGTGTCACATCAAGCCACTGTGCCTCTGACAAGGGTTCGTAGGGGGGGGGGGGACAACACTATTTACACAAACAAGCTGACACACACATGTACACACCATGCCCTTGCAGCTTCCCATAAATATCCTAGAAGATGCAACATTTCCCCACAAGCCACAAAACCCTCTCTCTCTCTCTCTCTCTCTCTCTCTCTCTCTCTCTCTCTCTGCATCTTCAGTGCTCCTGTCAGACAGGTGCCCACGCAGCTGCCCGTCAGCATCCCTCAGCATAGCAGCATGTCTGTCCAATGACAACATGCTCTGTCCTTTGCTCTCAGCCCTCAGTTTATACAGTCAAATAATGCAGGGAGCCAATTTTAGCCAAGATATTTACTGTAACAAAAATAAAAAGTAAAGCTTTCATGCTTAAGCAATCCGAAGATGTTTATCCGTCACGCAAGATGGTAACCTATATTGCAAATTTGTTAGCAAAGATTTTATTAATGTTCCACTTCTGCATTTGATAAGGTGGAAAAAACTAGGTACAACAATCCTTAGAGTAATGAGGGTTAGTAAAGATTCGGTAGCCACAGACATGCACCGATCCTATACTGACAGGTGGGGTAGAGGTGACAATGGGGCTGATCTATTTGATTTAATTTTATGTTTAATGTTTTTATATTGGAATTTAAATTCCTATTTGTACTAAATGTTCACAAAGAATTTTGATTCCTGTTTACTTTGAATGTTTAATGTTTATCGAGTTTGTTCGCAGTAATTCCTGATGTAACTGTGATTTCACGTTTACATTTGGTCTAATTTTATGCAGGTGAACTGTTTGATACTGGAATTTTAATTCCTGTTCAGGTTTTGTTGCTGCATTTACAAGGTTTACACTTTAATTCCCGATCATTTTAAAGTTTTTTTTTTTTTTTTACGTAGTTGCTTTTGCACGATTTATCACATTAATAAATAACAATTCAATCAATTTACATCTATGTATGTATTTGTTATATTTAGTTTTACAATGTTTAAATTAAGCCTGATGTTGCCTTAAACATGAAAGGATGATCCACGTCACTTCAGCACAGTCAGGCATACAGCTTAGTGCCGTCAACAATATCAATTTAGCAAACAATTCTGAACATTTGAAATGGTTTTAATAATTATTTTCCGCAGTAGTGAAACACCGGTACCAGCTGTGGTTTCTCACTCTTTCTTATTGTTGATGCTAAACACTGCGTTCTGCTGTTCTCTGCCACTAACCAGGAAAAAAAAAGATGTTTTGTGAAGGCACAGTTTATTAGTTCATTTATCCTTTAATGAAATTTTCAAATAGTATGCCTTCAATGTCAATTGTATCAAAGTTAGAGATTCCAGTATTGTGACAACACTAATACAGCCCAATAATTAAACACTGGTACTGGATTGGTGCTACATATCGGTCAATACCCAAAGCCCAGTTATCAGAATCAGTCTTGAAAAACTCAGATCAATGCATCCTTAGGCATACGCATCACACAATTGCACACAATTGCAACCACATCTGCAGTATCCCATGTCTGCAGGCACATATCCAGTGGACTGCAGAGTATGTGTGTGGCTGAGGGAGGAGGGTGTCTGTATATAAGATGAAGAAACATTTAAATGTTTGCAATCAGCCAGCTGGCCTGTCTAGATAGCCTTCACATCCTGGTGCACTGCAGTGTCAAAGCCTAAATGCACAGAGGATGTGCTCCCGTAAATATTTTGATTCACCTCCATCATGTAGTGTACACACACACAGACATCATGCTTGGGCTTGCAACTTGCATTGCCAATCAGATTCAAAACTCCGAAATGTATTTTTAGACTGGGGTGCGAGAATACAAGCTGGAGGAAAAAGGGGATTTGAGAATGAAATAAATAAATAAATAAGAACATTCCCAGCAGTAGACATAATGATAGGAAGCACTGTGTTGATTTTTTTTTTTTTTTTTTTTTTTTTAAATCATGCAGCTATTCAGGTCTCTGGTGAGGCTCTCACGCTTGCTTACACAAGCAAAAGCTTTCAGTGGCATCTGCAGCTGCATTCATGCTTTACAGGTAGGCTGCAGTCTCTTCACACAGCTGCCTCTGGCAAAGTAGCTCTGATCCAGGTGCGCCGTCCCCTCGACACTTTCTCAACACCACCCTCACTGCTCCCAGTGTCGGTGCCAGAGACACAAACATGGGTCTGGGCTGATAATTATCCTCACACATACCGCAAGCTGCAAGTCACTTTACACATTTTTAAGGGTCACAAGTAGCTCTTACACCTTCCAACAGTTCACGCCACTATACCTAACCTATGCCTCCAATACCAATATCCCAACACCTCCTAAAAGCTGCCAGACAACCTCCCACTCAAACATTTTCCACATATACCAACTATAAAAAAAACAGTTTTATGTTTTCTTTTCTCTTTCAGCAGGTTATAAGAGACCTATAGCCCTTTTTTCAACACTACCATCTTTATTCTTTCAAATGGGATCAAAGACTAACTGGGATAATTCCTCCGAGCTCCAGGCTTTATCATCTGAGCAGCACTGAGTGACAAGAAGAAGCTGTATTTTATCCCATGCTCTGTCACTGTTTTTCTCCATCTAGCATTGTACTGCTTGATTGTACTCTTATGAGTAACAGAACCGCACCTGCGCCCATGTGTTAAGTACTGACAAATAAAAGCCCAGCGTCCATTTACACAACAAAGAGATGTAACCCGCGAGGCAACCATTCTTTCCCTACCTCCCTCCGTCTCACAAGACCGCAAATATATCACTTACTTAAGAGGAAGGCAGCATGCGTTCCTGCTGCTGTCAGAGACTGCTTCTCTCCCTCATGCTCTCTGACAAACTTCTTTTCAAATACAAATCCAGAAACAAAACACATGCCAGCCTTTTATGTTGCACGGCCTGTTCCATATTTGATTTTTTGAGAGTAACAGCAGCAGAGGTGACGATTATCAAAGCTCTGAAAGGCAAATCCAGTCTCAGACTCCCTCACCAAGAAAAAAAAAAAAAGGGAAAAGAAAACCCTTTCATTGTTTAAGGAAAGCAAAGGGTGGGATTTTAGTAAACCGGTTGCTTCTTATTAAAAAGAGAAGAAAAAAAATCATTGTCTTGTACCAGTTCTAGGAATTTAAAGCAAGGCTTAATAAAACCTTTGCCAATCCACCAGGGTTTTAACAATGAACATCTGACTTACTGATTTATGCATATTAATGAACTCCAACACCCCCTGTCTAAGCGAATGCAAGCTGAGCTCCACACTTCTCTGCATCCTAATGGTTTCTGCTCCACCGGGATCATTACCAATAGAAATTTCAGATATTCTGTGCTATTAATCTCTGTCTGTCCTCCTGTTCGGCTACGTAATGACTAATTAAACATCAAAAGAGCAGAGCTGGGGATCCGCTCTGACAGCCTCTCTTTCTCCCAGGAGAGGCTGTGAGGAGGCTAGACTGTGACAGGGCAGCACTGAAAATCAATCACCTCGAGGTGCACATGTGTATGCGTGCACACACATTCATACATGTACACACACACAACCGCAAAATATTTACAGAGAGATGTGCCCTACAGAGACATGTACATACTAATATCAAACAACAAGCATGTAAACAACAAACACAAAAATGTTAGAACTAAAATTAACAGGCGCCACTGGTGTCACTGCTGAGCCGCAAAAACAACTGAATTCCCATCCAAGAAGTGTGGCAGTGATGTCAAGAGCACTCTTTGTGTGCAAGTGTTGAGTGTGTGTGCGTGTGCGTGTGTGCATGTGTGTGTGCTTAAGTACGCTCACTGTGAAATCTATTTATATGAGAGGTAGATGATCTTCCACTCACAGATGAAGGCAGGCCAGGAGGGACCTTGCGAACCTTTTTTGTTTGTAGAGGATCTGTGGAGAGATGAAAGCACATCCAGTTATTTGCAAAAAGGCGACTATGAATCTGCTGCAAACAAGCTATAACTCACCAACAAAATATACTCTGTGGTGTTGTTCTGTATGAAGTATTATTTGTGACTAAATCAGGCTTTCACATAAACAACCTTAAAAACTGAAAACTCTGTAATGGAGTGCTGAAATGAATCTTTATTTACAAACTTTCATTTCTAAATGTGTCCAGTCTAATTCAACTTTGACTATACCTCTGTTACACCGTGTCCTTTGAACAGGGGCATTGACCGACAATGTTAAAGTCAGTGTTAGGTCGTTCAGTCAAAAAAAGTAATGCATTACACATTACTTTTATGAGATTCTCGCTAAAGAGTATTTTCATTAAACTACTCATTACATTACTTTTGCGTTACTTTGCAACATCACCTGAGACGCAGTGTTTAATAATTGCAGGTTATAATAATAACATTAAAACATTACTGTACATATGCCCACATATCAACACAAAACAAGGATCAGGAGAATCAAGATGGCACTACAGTGGGAGATTACTGCCTCAAAATGAAACTACATCATTAAATAAAACGATATAACAAAGCCTGGCCTTCCCTACAACGCATGGTACAAATGTTAACTGCCTCAACATATTATTTCAATAGGCCTAAATACAATTAATCAAGAGACTAGCATTCCGTCTTTACAAAAGCCTGACCATGATTGCAGTTATCAATGCTGCTTCAGCAGCACTTCAATAAATGCATCCCTGCGAACTTTAAACACCACAGTAGACTTACTCCACAATGGCACTGGATAAAAAGGCAACATAGCAAAATTAGAGAAATTAGCAATGAATGAACTACATTACTGTCGCCCTTTTTAAGTAATATTAAACAATAAAATCGATAACTGTCATCCTTTTTTGAAATTTAAGACTTGAGTGAAAATGTGTTACGAAAAATAAGTATTCCATTGGATTCTTGTATTAATTTTTTGTGAGGTTTTGTTTTAAATGTTGCATCAGCTACATTTGTCCCTGTAAAACATAATTTTCAGGTCATTTTTCTGATAATCATGGAGATAGCACTGACCGACAGATGGAGGATCTTGCAGAGGACGTCTTCTAGGATTGGCTGCAGTGAAGGAGTAGAAAGGAGCAGCTGACTTCCCTGATGGAGTCACTGGACTAGGACTCGCCAACGCTACGTCCGATCTTACAGAAGAAGACTGAAAGAGAAAACAAACACACAAATGCTCTCAATTAAAGGATAATATCAGCTTTCATTTTCAGAAATGAGTCTGATTACTTCAGTTGTTTCTGTTGTAAAAATACTTTGAAGTCAGTGAGTAATTTCAAGCCCCATCAGGTACATTTTTTAAGTCGTTTCTATTTATATTGTGCAATCTACATTTCACTTTGGAGCAGTTTTGACCTAAATAATATGACAGTAAAAAGAATCCAAGCATCAACAGCGTGTTTACTGTAAATAGCAAATATTGTAATATTAAATCACAAAGATGAAACAAAGAAATGCTGTGATGGATGCACAGATTGTTTTCAGAGTGTGACACATTTATTCTGTGTCACAGAACAGACCTTGAACAACCTTTGAAAGCTCACCACATCATCCTATCATCAATATCTATTTAACCTCTATAACCCCAACAAACTGGGCTAAGAGCTCAATTAAGAGCCTGGTCTAATTAGTGTAATCGGCTGCAGACCAGTAGAGCAGGGATCATGTGAGCGAGTACAACTCAGAGCAATGTGTAGTAGTTGGCTTGTGAACTCGCCTCACGTGCCTCCCTTGGTATCAGCAGGCTGGGGATTGACACAGTGACCACAGAGACCTTTCCAACAGCTCTGATCATTCGATTGACAAATCCAGAGCTTACAAATTTGAAACAATTCAAATGGATTTAACTTAGTGTAAAAGAAACACAAATACTATGAAAAGAAAATGTTTATCTGACCTAAAATGTAGGTCATGAAAAACTGTCAGAGGCAACATAACACAAACGTAATGGAAAAAATAAAACTGGTTCTGTAAAATGACAATGTGTCAGTGGTGCTACAGCATTTACACGATACAACAGACCCATTTCTGCTGTTGCCTTTGTTCAATGATATTGAATCCCTGCAGCAACACTGGCTCTGGCCTCATTTACACTATTGTAGCTATTCAGGGAGGAGCCACTCAAGAGTCGTGCAGATTTGAATGACTGTAACTCTCTCTGAGAACACCTCTGAATTAGTTTCATTTGCCCAATAATCAATTGATGAGGGCTTTTGCACCTCACTCACAGAAAGGAGCAGGGAGTCATGTAAGAATCAGAGAATCAAACTCCTGCAGCTCAAATACTTTGTCATTATCATTTTTTAAACCGTCGTATCAGTCGGAGACTTCGTAACACAAAGATTCAGAAATATATCAGACCATTCGAGGGTAATTATGTAAAATACTTGACACATGGTTACTTACAATGTGAGTCGTCTTTTTTGGTTATTTGACTCAACCAGTTCACAAAACACACACTGAAAGTTTAGATATAGAGCATGAATCAATAGGCCTATTGGAGCAATAACAAGATAAAAATGTAAAAAATGTTGTACTAGGTAACTCCTCTAGTTGCTTTTATCTTTATATTCTTGTCGTGGCTGTTCCCAGCATACTTTCTCTGCAGATTCTCCTTGGAAAGACATTTTTTAGTCTTCCTGTTTATGTATTTCAACCAGAGAATATTTATTAATCTCAGATCTCTGCAGCTGCAGATCTGTACACATTCCCCAAAACCTAATCAAAATATCTTCTGTGGTATTCCCTCTAAAAATGCTTTCATCATTTAGAAGCATCATTTTTTAAATTGCCACTGTATCCTATCAGAAGTGTCTAACTATGTGTGGTGTAATTTCGTAAGATTCTTTCACACTGAACCACAAAAAAAGCATTTTCTTAACAAGAAAATCAGAAATTGAAACCAAAGGAGATTTTAAATGACAAACCCTCCTTTACTCTACTTGAGGCAGATTGTTCTGAAGAACTCTGACTGCAGAATCCCAGTCACCCTTAGCTGAATAGAAGATATATGGATACCTGAAGCGCTAAATGTTTCACGATGTGTTCGGTTTCTCGTGGCTCAAAATTTCAAGTGACTTGGGGTTACATCTTGTTACGCTTTAGAAACTCTTACAAAGAGCAAGATCTTGAAATCAATTCTAAAAAGAACAGGAGGGAACAATCCCGGCAAAAGCCTGACTGCTTTGTTTGTGGTAGTTATGATGAAGGGAGCTCTTATTTAGACAGGAATAGAGGGATTTACAGTAATCCAACCTTCCCTGCTTGAAATCAGTGGAAGAGAGGCAAGGTCTAATTTTAGCAACATTTAAAAGGAGTCAAACCACAGGCGTGAAGTAATGTTCTGCACATCGTTCTATCTGGAACAAAAGGTTAACATATAAATGCTTAAGACTACATACTTTGTATAGCAATGTTGAATGATTTGTTTTTAAGTCAACCAGTTGTATTGGTATTGGGGGAATACAGAAGCTGATTGATGGTACCAAAATTGCACATAGCTCTGCTTTGAATTTACCTGGCAGCTAGGTGCTCCAGCATTCCTCCCATAGCCGGGAAACGGAGCCCTCTCCGATTTACCTGTAAAAACACACAAAGAACACTTTATTTACCACTGGTAAAACTAAGAGGTGTTGCTTTTTCCGAGGTCAGCAACTGAGTTTTGTTTGTTTTCTTTATTCATTATCATCTGATGGTGGCTGGAAGCAAACAGGAGAAATGGGACTCCCTCAGGTGCTGTAACAATAAAGTATGTGCTAAATGTACTCTCAAATAAACATATGGTTGTTTAGACAAGTTGGATGTTAAGCAAAGCCAAAGAAAAAAACTGCACTTTTGTAAAACAGCATTATGTGTCACAGTTTTCAGTATGCAAAAAATAAAAATAAATATTAATTACTGATAGAGTGATAATTGTCAGTGAGTCTTTCTTTCAGCATCACATTTGGCGTGCACACCTCAAAGGAAGGCTCCCAAACAGCCATCAGGGGAAAACTAAAACTTACAGCACACAACACACATGAATCATACGCATCACAATATCCAAAATCAGCAGTTTCACTCCCCTGGAAAAACAAACAAACAAACAAACGAGAGCTCCTAGGGGAGAATGATGAATAACTTTAACAGCGTCGTACATTATTTTTGTCAGACTTCCAAATATTACACGCACAGACACAAGCGTTGGAACTAAATTCTGTTTACTCTGGGGAAAATGTAAATATTTTTTTGTGCGTTAAAAACTTGCATAGCCTGGATCTTTTGTTACACAATGACTGATCTGAACATTGGTTTTACAAGCGCAGGTGAACAGAGGCACATCTGAGAGAATTCACTTGTGCTTATCTGCGCAGTCCTGCAGGAGACAGTTGTTCTGCATCTGTGCAGACTGTCTCAAGAGACGGAGGAGGCTGAGGAAATCGGGGAAGATGTTTAAACTAAGAGCACTTCTAGGGAGTAGCATCCACCATAAACACTATGATACTTGCACTGGATAGCTGTTTTCAGTTTGTCTATATTGTATCTGTAAGCCAGATAAAAAAAACCTGGCAAAGCTGCTTCTCTTCTAACAATAATGTGATACAGTTCTGAGCCATCGCTCTTGCAAAAGGAAATAGGATTAAGTTGTCGGCTACCACCAACGTTCACTATTGTGGCAGCATGATGAAACATCTCCTTTGACATAGAATTTTGTTTTCTTTATTTTTTTGTTTAATATCTAAAGGTGCTTTGGTGGAATTCATTTTCATTCCTCAAACGTCTTCTGAGGAAAAGGAGTTAAATATTCATTGGCAGCATGTGTTTTGTCACACACACTGTGTCTTTTGTGAATAATTGATGGTCACTGTTGTAGTTCCAGGGCCCACCGGGGCAGACAGATGTGTTTGTGAAAACAATGTCTCAGTCCACACTATGAGGCAGAGACACAGCCGCACAGCGCCCCCAAAACACTGTGGAGACTGACAAAAGAAAGACTACAAAGATGCTCAATCAACAGTGAAGCTTAAACTTAGAATACACAGGAATACACAGCACGCATAAACATTTACTGCATTTGTAAGCAATGAGATACTCACACTTCCTTCAAAGACACTACTTGTTGTAATAGGAAAATGCTCGTATAAAATGAGCAAGAAAGACAGTTTCAAATTATTATTTTTTTTTCTTCAGACTTTATGTTGCAGCCATTAAATTTGCGTCTTTTATGCAATTTTTAAAAGCATATATATACTTATTACACAAAAAATAATGTGACAATATGACAAATGACAGTTCTAAACACACCAAGTGTATCTGGGCATCACTGTGCAAATGGATGCAATGTCCTAGCTTTCAATCGGTCTGTCACATGCCCTTCCTTTCTGTCTCCCACCATGCATAAATCTCTCCAAGAACACATAATAGACTTGAAATGTAATAAAACAAAGTCATTTTCCTTGAAAGTACAGAACAAACCGTGTTCTTCTACTGGGCATTGGTCTGGATTTGCTAAATCCGTGTATTCTAAATTTGACAGACAGAACTGGTTCAGGAGGCAGAAATGCACATTGTAAAATCATAATTGTAAGGAGCTAAAGTGACTATTGTCCATTCCGTGTATTTAGAGGAATAGATCAACACCACTGTATTACTACAAATTGAAAGTGGCTGTCTTTCATGATAGAAGCCTGCTATTTAGCGCTGAACGTCTCCCCATCCTCTTGAAAGGAAAGGATGATGTTCTTGGGCTATTTGATGCACCAATTTCATGTACAGTGTCTCTCAAAGATAATTAGTCACTCTTATTTACTTAAAGGCCCAGTTTTTAGTATTTCGTGGGGTATATTGGCAGGAATGGAATATAATAAGTATGTTTTCTTTAGTGTACAATCACCTGAAAATAAGGATTGTCGTATTTTTGTTACCTTAGAATGAGTTGTTAATATCTACATAGGGAGTGGGTCCTTGTCCACTGAATCTGCCCATAGACTGTATGAGAAAGATGGACGACATGTGAGGTACCATAAAGTAAAGCTAAAACATCTGTATCGCCCCCTGGTGGCTGGCTGCAGGATAACCCCACCCCCTTCATGTTAGCAGATGGAATATAAGCCAAGCAGACATTTCATACATTTTCCCTAAATTTGGTTTCTGTCATTTTAGGTAGTTCTTATTACGCTGATGTATGTCCAAGTGTTCCGGTTTTCTGATAAGTTTGGTTCTGATTGGTCATCTAATAGTATCTGACGTCATGATTGACAGCTGTGTGTGTCAGTCATTGTGCCTGCGATCACCGTGGCTGCTTGCGATTGGTCGGACGGTATTTGGGCAGGAACTGAACACCATGGATATCGCTACTGCCCAGAATCTGGCTCCAAATGATGTCGCCAATGCAAGATGGCAGCGGCTATATCTGGGATACTTTGGCTTCATTTTTGTACGGAAGGGGTAGGTGGAGACATGTTGTTCATCTTTATATACTGTCTATGAGTTTGCCATGTTTCTTCATTGGCCCATAATGGACAAACAAAACACTGGCTCTAGATAGGGCCATTTGAGTTTTGGCGTTAGACACCAAAATTAGCGGCCCCTCTGCGATGAGGATCATCAGAAAAACACTGATTTGTAGCATGAAACTGCTTCATTCAGCGTTACAACTGGTTTAAATCACTGGGTCTGTTTGATTTGGAGAGGAAGAGACCTCTGCTGATGACACAGCTCCCAGTAAACCTTCTGAACAATGAACACTGAATGAATCCTAACCAGGAGTTTACACTTTAAACATATGAGACGTTTCAGCTAGTTGCAATCTGTAATGCGCACTGCTAGATGCCACTAAATCCTACACATTGCTCCTTAAAAATTCAGCTTTACTTATGATCTTGATTTTTTGTAGATTACAAGGAGATGAAACTATAACCAAGTTCATTACATGAGTAGCAACATCAGAGTATCCAATCATAGATAAAAGTCTGTCAAAAATGCCATCTCCTGTCACTGCAAGCAGATACTGAGAAACTAAAGCCAGAACACTGTTCCTGCCCCCACCTCTCATGACCTGAATCATCCAGCAAGAGGAGAAGGATGCAGCAGTGCTCAGAGGACCAGCCATGTGGCTCGGGGATTAACTTCAGTATCTTGTACACAGGTCATGGATGAACAGGTCTCTTAGTTTGTGTAGACTGCCCTACTGAAGACGCAGCAGCTCGGACAACTTTATCTTATCATGTATCTCATCGCTGCCCTGAACAGTGCTAGAGTAGTAAGATACCAAAGAAACAATCTGACAAGAGTTGATCATCACTTTTGAAGCCAATCCCTTATGTCTGTATGACAGTTTAAATCCCTGTGTAGCCTCTTAAACTTTAAAGCAACGACCTGAGAACAACCTCTGCTTATAAAAGACTCGGTTAAATTTATAGTTTGCAACTACGTGGCTGAAATGCTTTTCAAATTTCAGGAGAATGCATATTTATGATGCTGAAGTAAAGTAGAACAAAGTAATATATCAAGTGGAGCATACTGCTGGGTTGGCCGGTTCTAAAGCCAGGAGCCTAAATTAGCTGAATAAAATATACCCTTATCATGCCGTGACACAATCTCCTGTCTGACGCACATGGACTGTAACTCATTGTGAGGAAAATAGGTCACTGTAATAATCTCTTTTCCCAATAAAAACAACAACAACAAAAAAAACAAGTTGTTAAATCTTAAATTCCCTGATTGAAGTACTTAAGTTTGAAACACAAGCTCACAAATCAAAGACTATTCCTACCGTGAGGGAAGGAGAAACAAATAAAAGGAGAATTAATTTTATTAGTTACAGGCTTGTTATTACCAATGCTTTGTTCCCCCTCCTTTGAGCAGGACCATGTGATCACAGCCTCACAAGACCAACACTATTATTGTTATCATTATTTCTTGAGTAGGCCCATTTGTTCTGCGCAGGGCTACGCGGGTGCTTTCTTTTTGTGTCACAGGCCTACTAATGAGTCTAAAGTGCAGTGATTGATAGGAGGCAAAAGTCATTATCTGCCTTAAAACAGCAAAGCATGCAAAAGATGCTAAACGCAAAAAAGCAACATGAGTAAAGTGGCTTAATTACTGCAATCACCATCAATAATATCTATTTAAGTATGCAGACACAGTATATCTATGTATGCAATAGAAAATCAGTCCCATGAGAGAAAAAAATTCCATCAAGTCTGATGAAAATATTCTGTGAAGCTGCTTATTAGCATAGCGCTCTGAGGTGTGAAGGTGTAACTATGATTGTGAAACATATCACTGCAAGTTTCTATATTTAACAGAATGTGTACTGGTGGATAGATTACATTAGTTGCTGAATTTTCCACAGAGACAAACAATTTGTGGCAAAAACCATGTCCATGTTTTATTCTTTTTGTCCCCTGAACTGGGGATAGGCAACATGTGGCTCTGGAGCTGCATGTGGCTCTTGAGCTCCTCTCCTTTTGACAAAAAAATCATATGGAAATAAATACAAAGTTATTTTTTACACAATTTCATTTTCATTTATCATTGTTGTAGGCCTATGGTGATTCTTACATTCTGCATTTATGAAAATGTGTAGCCTATACACT